TAATGTTACTTGTCACCAAAACAGATCCGATACATTCATCTTCTGCAGTTTCATTAAGTTCCTTCTAAGTATCACTGTAATGCTTTCGATGTTATCGAGATGAATCGATATAACGAATTACTTGTGTTGATATTCCTTAATTCGTGCTGCATCTTTGCTTTCACTGTATCTGCTTATATGTGTTCATTATTGGCTCGGAAGCCTGCTGATTGATCGTCGTCTGTTTTTTTCGTAATGTGAGGAAGAAAAGAGTGCCAAATTCGCTGGAATCCAGTCACACTGGTTTGCTTGAAGCACTATTGTTTCAGAATCTAAAATTTTACTTGGTTCGGTGGCGCGCAAGTATCTGAATTATTTGCTGTACGAAAAGCTTGGACCGGACTCCATAATTGACAAGAAACGCACAAATACCGCATCTGAGCTCCTGCATCACATACGGCGAAATTCGCTCCTCAATGCCAACAGCTTACTCACTGACAGGAACATCAGTGGTAACACGTTGCTGGCCAATAGCCCACTGCATGAAGAAATTCGCAGAGGTAACGAATTTCTTATATATCTCTTGAACCTATGTTTTATCCTTGATTTTTCCAAAACTTTTAAAAATTTTTTTCTTTGACAAATATTTTCAAAGACAGAATGGTAATTTTTAAAATATACGCACAACCAATAAACACGTGTACTTCAGATGGCCCATTAGCACCGTTGCTACGACGTCAGACCGATCCCGACCTTCGAGTAAGTCTTACTCATTTCCTTTATTCGAGCTTCCTAACTTGTAAGCAACATCAAGCATAGTGCGATGAATTTGGCAGTACTAATATTTTAAAAAATATGAGTGCCATTTGAAAATTTGCCCCATAAAACACACTTTAGACTTTTAGAGCGCATAAATTTGGATAATTCTTTTTGAATTACCTAGCTGTGTTTGTTTTCAAACTATTATAGGTAATAAGTGTTTTTAGTGTAAAAATAAACGAAGAAAAGATGATTAAAGGGGGCTCAATATAGAAGAGTAGGACGTCAATAAGTTGAAAACAGATCAGAAACCATTCTCTATTTCAAATGCAGCTTAACCTAAGAACAGCTGCATTGAATTTGACAGCGATTTCTTTCATTTTTCTGATAAAGAATCATCTTTCCATTTGTTGTCTTGTCTTTCATCTTTGCTTTTCGTTGTTGTGTATTGAGTGAATTCTGTTTTGTAGGAACGAA